CAATAAGATAGAAGGTAATTTGGTAAGATAAGACAATAAGATAGAAGGTAATTTTATGAGATAAGACAATAAGATAGAAGGTAATTTTATGAGATAAGACAATAAGATAGAAGGTAATTTGAAAAGATAAGACAATAAGATAGAAGGCAATGTGAAAAGATAAGACAATAAGATAGAAGATAATTTGAAAAGATAAGACAATATGATAGAAGATAGTTTGAAAAGATAAGACAATAAGATAGAAGGTAATTTGATAAGATAAGACAATAAGGTAGAAGATAATTCGATAAGATAAGACAATAAGATAGAAGGTAATTCGATAAGATAAGACAATAAGATAGAAGGTAATTTGATGAGATATGACAATAAGATAGAAGGTAATTTGATGAGATATGACAATAAGATAGAAAGTAATTTGATAAGATATGACAATAAGATAGAAAGTAATTTGAAAAGATAAGACAATAAGATAGAAGGTAATTTGAATTGAATATTAAGTTTTCTTTTCACGTTAATTTTACTTGTATTTTTTTTCGCAGATTTTAGTCATATTTTACCACTCCAATTTATTACAACTGCAATTCTAATCGCAACAAAAAGTTTCAGAGGGTAAACGCCTCCCCTCCTGCATCTCAATTTTGCTTGCGTGTTTTCACAGAGCTATATCATATCTTGACTACCACTGCTCAAAATTTCCATTCTAATTGTAAATATTTTCAGGGGAGACAGCTCCCCCCTCCAACTCAATTTGCTTTTTATTTTTTTTCACTCTATTTCATCATTTCTTGTCTTCCACTGATCAAAATTGACAACATTCTAATTGTAAAGTTTTAGGGGAGAAAGTGCCTCCCCCCCCCCAGATAGTTTTCAACGCCTATTCAGTCATCATATTGCTTTAAATTACAAAGAAATAATCAAACCAATTTCTTAAGTTTACCAACTCCAGTTACAATCGACCAAAAACACCTGTTTAAATTTGGACATTTTTTAACAAGCTCTTGTGATACTTACGTCAGCAAATACTGCATTAATATAGTCAGTACTGTCATTGCTTTGGTAGGAAGTTAGATACGGCCGGAAGTTATCGGCTAGAAAGTACGAAAAAATATCAGCTGTACACAACAAGGGTTAAACAGAATATAACTTCATAAACCTATTTACTTATATGGTAAATTAATGATGTATAGTGAACGGACATCTGGGTTTATTTCTAGAACATTATGGTTAAGAACGTCAACTACCAATTTCGTAAGTAAAAATATTTAAGAGAAACACTTAAGTTTTACTAGTGCTATCGTCCCCTGGTGGAATAGCAGTAAGCTTACAATATAATACGCTAAACTACAGGGTTCTATTCCCCGCGATGAATACAGTAGATGTGGCTTTGCTCTAAAACAAACAAACAAACTAGTACAACGATACATTTATACACGAAGACACACCTTTCAGTTGTTTGTATACCTACCAACTCAGACGTCGATAGATATTTTTAAATATTGAAATTCTCTGGTGATTTTTTTTTATTGTTTGGTAAAAAATAATAACAATAACAAATAATTTATTTCTTCTTTAACGTCTGCTATAATCGCTTTTACCAATAGGCCTAGTTTTATATATAAAACTTTTCAACAGAAACCCACTGTAGGCCTAATTCGCTAATAACATTTAACAGAAATTCCTTCAAACAACATCAGAAAATTGATTAAAAATAGTACTTTCCTTGATTGATAACAAATGTTGACTGACTTATTGATTAGCTTACAGAAGCACTAACTCTTACTAAATAACTTTACTCAATCAGATTTCAGGAATTATCAATCAGTAAACTGCTACTTTATTACTTATTACTCGTATTTAATGGTAAAGTATCAATTTAGATATTAGTCTAAATTTATTACATCATCATCTCTATTAGCAGCTCCCTCTAGCAAATATCTAAATCAAAACATTGAAAATATAGCTTATATATAAACGTTTAGTAAGTTACTCTAACTTACGAGGTACGGTTGCTACGTCTCTGTTCTTCTCCCTGTTTTCAGGCCTATGACCACCAGCGCAATCACCAATGGAGAACTTACAAGACATCTTACAAATTGTCTGGAAATTTAAAATCCATTTCAAATATTCGCAAGAAAAGTGTGCATAAGATATAACAAACGGTACATAATATATATATATGCAATAGAAACAAATTTAACAAATGTGTTTTCAAAACTCCACACTTATTTTAATTATCAGATTGCATTATTTTTTATACTAAACCATTGTTGTTCCTAAGTGTCCGGGATTTAAAATACCAACACATATTATTCGAAAACTTTCTTAAAGTTCTTTAGAATATGTAGAAAAGCTCGTAAAAAAAAACAGATTTTAACTACTACTTGTAGTAGACTAGACCCAATTAGACTCTTCTGTTATAAAAACATAATCTGTTATTCCGCTGTTAAGGAACTATTTATTTTCCGTGTGAAGAAATTGTACTGTTACCATGATTGATAAATGTATTAAGAGAAAATTTAGTTTTCATTATTATCGTTGATAGTATTGGGAATATATGGTTTAAATGCCAAAATCTGGCGAAATATTGGAAAACCACTTGGCCTAAAAATTGCTATCAAAGTAAGTTAGCTGCATTTTCAACTGTGGCTCGAAATCGTAGGTGTACAAAGAAGAAGAAAATCTGTCTTTTGGCTCCTACAAGTCACTGAACAGTAAACCAGATCTGTCTTTTGGCTCCTACAAGTCACTGACCAGTAAACCAGATCTGTCTTTTGGCTCCTACAAGTCACTGACCAGTAAACCAGATCTGTCTTTTGGCTCCTAGAAGTCACTGACCAATGAACCAGATCTGTCTTTTGGCTCCTACAAGTCACTGACTAGTAAACCAAATCTGTCTTCTGGCTCCTACAAGTCACTGACCAATAAACCAGATCTGTCTTTTGGCTCCTACAAGTCACTGACCAGTGAACCAGATCTGTCTTTTGGCTCCTACAAATCACT